ATATGTCGAAACTTGGTTTTTAAATTTACTAACTCATGTGATCATGATAAGTGTCAAGTAAAAACATAAGATGTCTCAACATGTTATAACTAATTTTGTTAATATTAAGATACAAATAGAATTTTTAAACAACATTAAAAAATAATTATAAAAAATTAAAGAGAATTTTTTAGAAATACCCCTTTTGGTGTACCCCTTTTCAAAAATACCTCCTTTATCTATCCATTTTCAAAAATATTCATGTTTAAATATGAAAAATTATAAAGTTTTATATGGTTTATAAAGTACTTCTATATAATAACTACTACTTGGAAATTTGATACAAATATTTTATAATGTTTTAAAAGGTTTAAAATCGTTTTTACAAGTTTTATAAGGTTTTTAAGTGGTTTTAAAAGGGTTTATAAAATCTCTTTCCAAATGAAATTAATTTCTCTTATTTTTTCAAAAACAAATTTAGAATTTTTTTTTTTTTTTTAAGTTATAATAAATTTTAGTTTTAATTTAGTTTTAAATAAATATAACCCGTCCAAGGGACGGATGCTATACTAGTTAATTAGGAAATACATCTTTCAACATTTTACATTCAAAACTGATTTTATATATTTCAAAAAGAACATGGGCTAATTATTGTTAAGCTTTTGTGTTTTCAATTTCAAAATTTGGTGTCAAGGGTTTAGATTTGGACTATTTAATTACTTTTAAAAAGATATAGTCTATTTTTGTAGTTTTCGTATAAAACTTAGAACTGTATAATATATATAGATTTTGTTTTTTCATTCACACAGTTACGATTACATTATACGACAGTGGTCTTCGTTGTTTTTTTCATTGTAAAACTGGCACTGCTTATAGATTCTCTTATGAATTTTTTATTTTTAACTATAAATTGTGCTTTTCTTTTTTATGATCGTCATTTAATTGGTTTAGTCATAAATGAATACATGCATTTAACACAATGCTTAGTCAATTTTTCATACTGGAGTCTTAAAATCACCTAAATACGCGTATGACTAGAACTAGAATGGATTAGTGTTACTCGGCTTACCCATTTTTAAGAGAGATACGCTTAAAATGGAAATATAAATTATATTTCAATTTTCAGTGATCCCACTAAATGTTGTTAATCTGAGTCCTGTATACAAAACTATCTATCAGACGGACGCTCCTATGACACCTAACACGTGAATGGCTTCTATGGAATTTAATACCAAACCTTTGTACAATGTTATGTGTGGTTACGTTATATATTTTGTTTTTTAAAACAATTTGGAATTCAAATTTTCCAGAAAAATGAAAGACAATTTGCAGCTTCTATAGCCTACGGTTATCCTAATATGACTAAAAAATCAGAGAGACGCGTAAATTTGATTCTTTATTTATTATGGTTTCATTAATCTTGTTTAAATCCTAATCTTATGTGTGACGTATTAATGCATGTTAATATGTTATCGCCACATTGTTTTGGACCGTCAAAGGACGATCCACTAATATCTTTGCCTGGCCATAATAAGGCCCAAAGTATATAGTGAGGCCCAAGTCCAATAGCCCCCGATATAAAATTTATAATTAACGACCAAAAAAACATTCCATTAAATATTCTTAAATCAATTAAAGTAGTGAAAGAGCCCACCCAGTGGCCGTATTCACCGTCCTCCGCCATACACACTAGACCGCTCGTTACTAAAGCACTGAGAAAAACAAATGTGGATTTGATTTGATCTGATCACACACACACACAAAAAAAAGGATTACACGAAAATATAAGTTTAGTAATATATTATAATCGCCGACAATTTCTTCAGATCTCCAAAAGCTTAAAATCTTATAATATAAAACATCCTAATAAGATTTGCATCTGATCTGGTTTCGAAGACGAACAACTTCTTCTTCGAGTGAGTGGTGAAGCTGAAGGCGATGGGGCACCTGAGTCTACCTGCGTCGAAGCGTAATCCTCGTCAATGGCGTCTCCTCGACATCGTAACCGCTGCTTTCTTCGGTATCGTACTCCTCTTCTTCATCCTTTTGTTCACTCCTCTTGGCGATTCCATGGCGGCTTCTGGTAGGCAAACGCTGCTTCTCTCGACGGCCTCAGATCCGAGGCAACGGCAGCGATTGGTTACTTTGGTTGAAGCTGGTCAGCACTTGCAGCCGATCGAGTATTGTCCGGCGGAGGCTGTTGCTCATATGCCTTGTGAGGATCCCAGGAGGAATAGTCAGCTTAGTAGAGAGATGAATTTCTATAGGGAGAGACATTGCCCCTTGCCTGAGGAGACTCCGCTCTGCTTGATTCCTCCTCCTTCTGGTTATAAAATCCCTGTTCCTTGGCCTGAGAGCCTTCACAAGGTGATTTTCTTGTTTGATTCGAGCTTCTGTATATTTATCACTCTTGATAGTGTTAGGTGGATCGTCGTCTACGAATTAACTTAGAATCGAATTACTAGCCTTAGTTAGCGGCCCTCTTATTGGACTTTCTATGAGATGTAGTTCGATTCCTTTGGCGATGTTTGAAACTTGTGCTTTGGGTTAGGTCTTAACTGTTAATGCTGGTTGTTTCAACATTTGTAGATCTGGCATGCAAACATGCCATATAATAAAATTGCTGACCGGAAAGGTCACCAAGGATGGATGAAAAGGGAAGGGGAATACTTCACTTTTCCAGGCGGTGGCACCATGTTTCCTGGCGGAGCAGGCCAATACATTGAGAAACTTGCGCAGTATATTCCGCTTAGTGGTGGAACTCTCAGAACTGCGCTTGACATGGGATGCGGGGTAAGAGTCATTATTAGTCTTTTATAATTCATGTTTTGCTCTGTGTAACAGTGTTACAATAAGTTATGTTTTGCTCTGTCATCTGTGTAAGTTGTAACATTGATACATTTGCAGGTTGCAAGTTTCGGAGGCACTCTTCTATCTCAAGGCATTCTAGCCCTCTCATTTGCTCCAAGAGATTCACATAAATCGCAAATTCAGTTCGCCTTGGAAAGAGGAGTTCCTGCATTTGTTGCCATGCTTGGCACCCGTAGACTCCCCTTTCCTGCATACTCCTTTGACTTGATGCATTGTTCCCGATGCTTGATTCCTTTTACCGCTTACAGTGAGTCCCTTGGGTACAACTCCTCATATCTCGTATGTGTTGCCATTTGTAGAAGCAATTAGTCTTATCCTGTTTGGTGATTTGTCTGTAGATGCAACTTACTTCATCGAAGTAGATAGGTTACTGCGTCCTGGAGGATATCTTGTAATCTCTGGCCCACCTGTACAATGGCCTAAACAAGACAAAGAATGGGCTGATCTTCAGGCGGTAGCTAGAGCTTTGTGCTATGAGCTAATTGCGGTTGATGGAAACACTGTCATCTGGAAGAAGCCTGTTGTAGATTCATGTTTGCCCAGCCAGAATGAGTTTGGGCTCGGGTTGTGTGATGAGTCTGTTCCGCCAAGTGATGCATGGTGAGAATTTTCTTTTCGTGTAATATTGTGGCTGTGACTTCTGACCTGTAATGGAATCATGTTAAAGTGAACATTGAAGTCTTTGTTTTTTTCTCCTTATTTCAGGTATTATAAATTGAAGAAGTGTGTTACCAGGCCATCGTCCGTCAAAGGAGAACTTGCTCTGGGAACTATTTCCAAATGGCCGGAAAGGCTTACTAAAGTTCCTTCTAGGGCAATTGCCATGAAAAACGGGTTGGATGTGTTTGAAGCAGATGCAAGGCGGTGGGCAAGACGAGTTGCTTATTACAAGGATTCTCTGAACTTGGAGATAAAATCTCCAGCTGTCCGCAATGTCATGGACATGAATGCCTTCTTTGGAGGCTTTGCCGCAGCCCTTGCATCTGAAACTGTGTGGGTTATGAATGTCATTCCAGCTAGGAAGCCATTAACTCTTGACGTGATTTATGACAGAGGTCTCATCGGTGTTTACCATGATTGGTTAGTCACTTTTTTTTGTTTATATATTTGATCAAAGCAAAGAGTTAGTTATGTTATCTCTCTTGTTCTTATATTCCACAATTCTTTGGAGTTAAACCCCTATTATTTGGTTCTTGCAGGTGTGAACCCTTTTCAACGTATCCTCGTACGTATGATTTCATCCATGTATCAGGAATTGAATCACTAATAAAACGACAAGACTCAAGCAAATCGAGGTATATCGAATGTCAAACCTTTCTTGATTGCTAACACGGTCCCTGGCTTATCTGGTTCACCTAAACTGAGATGTCTAATATGCATACAGGTGTAGCCTAGTAGATCTAATGGTAGAGATGGACAGAATATTGCGTCCAGAAGGAAAGGTTGTGATCCGAGACTCTCCTGAGGTGCTAGACAAAGTTGCACGAATGGCTCATGCTGTAAGATGGTCTTCTTCCATACATGACAAAGAACCCGAATCCCATGGAAGAGAGAAGATTCTTATTGCAACCAAATCTCTCTGGAAATTGCCGTCAAGCTCCCACTGAACACACACACAAAAAAGAAAAGAGAGGGAAGAAGAAGCTCTTCTCAGTCTTGTAGGTACTGTCACTTTCTCTCCAGCCCCAATCTGTCTGTCTCTAAGACACCAACCAGATGATATACATTTTTGTGTTCGTGACATTGCCTCTATATGTATTAGTGTATTACAGTCGTATAATGTCCTCCTGATAATGTTAATTCTTGGTCACACGTGGTTGTGTCAGTGATTTGTGTGCGGGGTCTACCTTTTAGAAGCAACTTGTGACCTACATGAGTAAAGTATGCATGTGACTCCGCTTATAGCTTTTGTACTGGAGACAATGTATTAGGTGCACGTCCTGGATACGTATTTGATGTATTGAAAACCCCAGCTTACTGACAATTCCTATGATTCGATGTTTTAGTTAAAAATATATTTTATATGGAGTACTATATAAATTGTTGTAGTTTTCTTGATATTTTGGATGAGAAACGGACACAATAGAAGAATTCTCTTTTTCCAGTACTTTGACTTCAGGTGGGGAGACATTTTTTGGTAAAAATCCCGAGAGAGAAAGAAGGCTCCAATTGGATTGGAAAAAAAGAAGAAGAAGAAGAAGAAGAAGTTGAAGACATTAATGCAACAAAGGTTCGGTCGTCCTCTTTTGAACCATATTTGTTGTCTCAATAATTGATCTTCTTATTATGCTATATAACGTCCAAGAAAATCTGATCGTTTATTATCTGTTTGAACGTAACATCATCGACACACTAGAGGATTCAATTTAGATGTGACTCTTGATTGAAATGTCATGTTAGAAAAGTCTAGTCTTTGCTATGTTTCTGATTGTCTTTGATTTGTTTCTATGTTCAATAGTGTTATATAATGGTAAATTCGTTTGAGGTTGAAATATCCCACATGAAACATGGTCGGTAGTCCGGTCATTTTGATGCTAACATTCACATTAAAAAGTTGAATCTCCTCTTTTTTTTTCTTTGTTGTATGACTCTGGCAAAAAATATTCATAGATCTTTTTGCAATCTCTGGTTTACTGGAGTTGGATTTACTCAACCGATTATGGTAGAATTGTTGATCCAGTTGAACGGTTTATGGTAATTGCCAAATTAAACCCAACAATGTAAATGACGTTGTTCTTTACACCATCAAACAGGCCAAAGAGGGGAATGAGTATTCCTCTTTGCTTTCAAACCTTTTTATTCACCAAACCCTATTGCTTCATTTATTTATTTCACATCAATAAGAGAAGAGAAGCCGAAGGACTTTTATTTTTTTATTTTCTGTAAATTAGTTACAGCCATCACATGTATATACTGTATTACAAAAAAAAAATGATTGGAAAAAGACCTACCTGAAATGATAAATAGGAAAGTTGGAGTGTAATTTGTATGGAGTGCTTGCTGGTCGGTTATTGAGTGGAACCGACATCCCCATGTGCTCTAAACCGAACCAAACCAATATGATCCACTACTTCCCCTTAGTGCAATGATCCATATATTCGGTTCAATTAATTCTGGCTTTACAAACACTAATGACAATAACTCTCAGCTAATTTTGTATGTTTCGTCTTTTCTGTCATCAGTTTTTGTATGCTTAAACCAACATATGCTTTTCTTTTTGTATATTACAAAGAATAGTTGAGCTATAAATTTACCACTAAAGTAATTTACAGTTGATATGGGATGAAGTTTCGGTGGCAATTGTCACCTAGAAGTCACATGTGGACACCGCTACATATATACATATATAAAGCCTATTAACGGAAGCTATTCACGAAAAAGTTTCGGATAATCCGGCCCTATTTTCCGAACAAACCTTTCCTGTAAACAGTTCAATATGTACACTACTTTGTCTTCTAACGAACAATTCACTCTGCGGGTTCACCTCCGGTGGCATTTCTTGCATGCATGCATGCGGACAATGGTCACAGCCATAGCTAATTCGGTCTTTCGATCATACCCACATTTCTAGACTGCTTCTTCCAATAAATAAATAAATAAATACAGCCATGAACATGTTGTTGTCTTAAGAGGGACATCTTCAGACAGCAGTCAAAAACAACCAAGTGTACCGAGTGAGACTAAAAGTTACACCATCTAACTTTTTAATATGAATCATCACTTCGCACTATTCAACGTTTTTTGTAGTTAGTATAAATACCAATCCGGAAATAAAAATGTGTATTTATCGGTGGCGCATTAGCTAGCATGACCGCTATTCCATAAAAGCTACTTACATATGTGCAGATTACAAAGGAAGGAAGTAACATTCAGTTTTCTTCCATGATAATTAAAAATCTAATAATTGAACATATTAAATTTAACGAAATCATCATCTCACCATTTAGGGCATACCAATTAGCTCAATAATGGAGCTTAGAAAGACTAATTATGGAATGTCGTTTGGTTGACACAAAAGCTCGCTTCTTCATGTCGTCAACTTACAAAATCATAGATTCTTTCACAAAACTTTTTAAAAGAAAAGATTCTATAGCCTATTTATATTTATACTAACAGAGAGACTATCAAAGTCAGTATAAATCAAAAAGTGCATTGTCAAATAATTGAAAAAAAAAAATGGATCATATGCATGGAAATATGGTAAAAACGTTTTGCGGGCGAGTAGAGAGATGATATATATGAAGGCGCGTGGGGTAAAGTAGAAAAAACGTTATAAATAAAAAGAGAGAAAAAGTCAACCGACTCGTTCATTTTGGTAAATGAGAGTCTCTCTCTCGTGTATTCGTATCTCCATCATCCTCTTTAACGTTTTTTTTTTTTACTTTCTTTTTCATTTTTTAATAAATTTGTTTTTTTCATTCATATAAAGTTTCATTTTTATGGAAACAATCGAGAGATAATTAGGGGTTGATGGGTTCAATCTATGTGTTGGCTTGATTCTATTTCAAAATTTTCAATAATTATTTTCTATGCTAAAAATGGGTAATTGTACTTACAAAAGTGACTTTTTAGTATCTAAAATATTATTTAAGAAAAAGGTTAATTATATTTTTAAAACAATATCTAGTAGATTTAACTTTTAGTACAGTTTGGGTTTAAGTTTCACTACCTTTTTAAAAATAAAAAAATCTGTTATTTTATTTGAAAGATTTTAAAAATGAACAAATGTCATTAGTTTGTTCAGATTTAGTTTTAATTTTAATATATATTTTATTATATAAAGACAATTTTGATAAAAAAAGTCAGGTCAGTTAAAGAAGAAAAGTCAGGTCAGTTATAGTTCTTTTTGGATTTGAATTGCATTAGATTTTTATTTTAATAATAGATTCACTTTTATGAAAATTGATGAAAACACTTAAAAAAATGAAACTAAAAATTGTCAAAATGCATTAAACAGAAAAAAATGAAAAAGAAAGGTAATAAAAGAAGAAAACAAAATCCTAAAAAAAAAACAAAAAAAGGCATGACCGTCGCTCTCATTGTCTTTAAAAACTAAATTATTAAAAAAATATAAATAAATACAAAAATAAAAAAAAAAGAGTCAAAATCCAACATGCAAGTGTGAATATAGGAAGAGAGAGAGACTCATCTTCTCCTTCACAGTTACCTCAAAACTAGGGTTTACCCATTTCTTCTTCTTCTTCCCCACAACACATCACTCTCTGAAACACAATAAGAGAGAGAGAGACAGAAACACAAAAAAAGAAGAAGAAACCATTTTATTCTTAAGAGAGAGAGAGACTGAGAACGAAGAGCACATGAGAGAGAAGTTGATTAAAATTTCCGCTTTCGTTCTCTTTCTCTCTCCTCCATTTCAGTAAAATTTATCTTTATTTCTGGGTTTCTTCTTCTCTTCTTCATCATCAATTCATCATCATCATCATTTTTATTTTTGAGTTTTTATCCTAGATTTATTCAAATCTTACTCGTTTCGTGAAAAAGTCTTCATCTCTACTTCCTTTAATTCTCCTTCTAGGTGTTTGTCACAAAAAGTAACAAATCAAATCAAATCAAATCTCTGAGTGTTTTCTTAATTTGATGAACTTCGGTAGTCTCTTTGATAATACACCTGGTGGTGGCTCTACCGGAGCAAGACTCCTCTCCGGTTTAAGTTATGGCAACCACACTGCCTCAACCAACGTCTTACCCGGTGGTGCTTTGGCTCAAGCGGCTAGCCTCTTCTCTCCTCCTTTAACTAACAAATCAGTTTACGCTTCCTCTGGCCTCTCTTTAGCCCTCGTACGACGTCGTCTCCTCTACTATATTACTTTATTTTTATTTTATTTTACTTTAGATAAGAAACCTAAATTTTGTTAATTGGTTTTGTTTTCGGACACAGGAGCAACCGGAGAGAGGAACAAACCGTGGAGAAGCATCGATGATGAGGAACAATAACGTCGGAGGAGGCGATAATTTCGATGGGAGTGTGAACAGAAGGAGCCGAGAAGAGGAACATGAGAGCAGATCTGGTAGTGACAACGTTGAAGGTATCTCCGGCGAAGATCAAGACGCAGCCGATAAGCCTCCTAGGAAGAAACGTTATCACCGACACACTCCTCAGCAAATCCAAGAGCTCGAATCGTACTTACCTACTCTCTCTCTTTTATGATTCATTCATCTCTTTCGTTCGATCTGATTGATTAATTTATGAGTTTTAATTTTTTTATCTTTGCAGTATGTTCAAAGAGTGTCCACATCCAGACGAGAAACAAAGATTGGAACTAAGTAAGAGACTTTGCTTAGAGACAAGACAAGTCAAGTTCTGGTTCCAGAATCGTCGTACTCAGATGAAAGTATGTGTTTTCTTTATTTTTTTGTTATCAACCAAATTGAATCCAAAAAAGAATTGAAGCTTTATCTCGTTGTAATGAATATGATTTCAAATCGTGTGCGCTGCGCAGACTCAATTAGAGAGGCATGAGAACGCATTACTGAGACAAGAGAACGATAAGCTAAGAGCTGAGAACATGTCGATCCGTGAAGCAATGAGGAATCCAACCTGCACCAGTTGTGGTGGACCTGCCATGCTCGGTGATATCTCTCTCGAAGAACACCATCTCCGTATCGAAAACGCTCGTTTGAAAGACGAGCTAGATCGTGTCTGTAACCTCACCGGTAAATTCCTCGGCCACCACCACCATCACTACAACTCGTCCCTCGAACTCGCCGTCGGCAACAACAACGGAGGCAATTTCGCTTTCCCTCCTGACTTCGGCGGTGGCGCTTGCTTGCCTCCGCCGCAGCAGTCGGGGATCAACGGGATTGATCAGAAGTCAGTTTTGCTGGAGCTGGCTTTAACAGCCATGGATGAGTTAGTGAAGCTCGCTCAGAGTGAAGAACCGTTATGGGTCAAAAGCTTAGACGGGGAGAGAGATGAGCTTAACCAAGACGAGTACATGAGAACGTTTTCAACCACTAAACCAACCGGTTTAGCTACTGAAGCTTCTCGAACATCCGGTATGGTCATCATCAATAGCTTAGCTCTCGTCGAGACTTTAATGGACTCCGTAAGTCTTCTTCAATTGACTATATCTCCATTTTTTTATATCTCCTAGCTACATTTATTTATTTATTTATTTTGTTTTTATTATTATTATATGTTTAACAACAGAATCGGTGGATGGAGATGTTTCCGTGTAACGTCGCAAGAGCCACAACCACCGACGTTATCTCCGGTGGCATGGCCGGAACTATAAACGGTGCACTTCAACTGGTAAACCAATACCTTCGTAATTAATCATACTGTATTACATTCCGGTTTAATATCTGGTTTTGGTTATATCTGAACCGGTTGAATATACTGTGTACGTGCAGATGAATGCGGAGCTACAAGTGTTGTCTCCGTTGGTTCCGGTTCGTAATGTTAATTTTCTCCGGTTCTGCAAACAGCACGCCGAGGGTGTGTGGGCGGTGGTGGATGTATCAATTGATCCCGTCCGGGAAAATTCCGGTGGCTCTCCAGTCATCCGGCGATTACCATCAGGCTGTGTAGTGCAGGATATGTCCAATGGATACTCTAAGGTAAGCGCTTTTGACACTAGCTAGACGTTACATAGCAATAATAAATATTATTAATCAGAAACATATTTGGAATCTAAATTAAAGGTGGTTTTTGAATAATTCGATAGAAATGAAGAAAATTAGGATCTCTAGGTTTTTAATTGGGTGATCACTAGACGAAGAAGCTCAAGCATCAATGAGTCTTGTTTTTTAGCCATTACTCGCTGCACCCACTTCACTGTCACTCTCATTTCCATTAAAAAATCTTTACCTCTCCCAAATTTGATCTTTCAAAGTTTTATTCTCTCTCTCTCGGTCCTATTATTTTCTTTTTCTTTGTTCGGGAGTCCTTTTTTCATTTTCATTTTTTATTTGATCTTCCTCTCAAAGGTTATTTTTAGAAAATAAAATATAGTATAATTTTATGTCAGAATAGGAAAAGAAAAAATAAATTGAATAGGCATTTTTCTTCCTCGAAATTTGATCCCCGAACCTTCCGAGATTGCTGAAATTTTATGGATCCGGATGCTTCTCTCTCTGTCGGATTCTCTGGATTAGATTTCAAGTTTTCGACAACTGGGTCTGTCTTCAAATTCGAAAAACCCCATTTTTTAATTTTTAATTTTAATTTTATCTAATAGTTTTGCTCGCTGTTCAATGAAGCATCTGTCCAAAATTATTTGTGCGCATTTTGGAAAGAACACATTAATTTCATCTATGCATGTATTGAGAAAAGCTTCTAATCATCGTTTTAATAAATCAATTTTTACATGTTTCTATTCCGATCTTCCATGCGCCCTCGTATATCCCGTCTCTGTCATCTACTTATAGTGTAGTATAATATTTATTTCACTTGTCTTATTATCTTGAATTTAATCGTAATTATCTTCCATTAAAAATTAATTAGCATCTTATCTCATAGTGTAAGTATTTTACACTTAGAAGTATAGACCGGTTTGGTTGTTGATATTGGTGTTAAAATAATAGAATTTGGTATCCGGATTGTGTAGGTCACGTGGGTGGAGCATGCAGAATACGACGAGAACCAAATCCACCAGCTGTACAGGCCATTGCTAAGGTCAGGCCTTGGTTTTGGCTCGCAAAGATGGCTAGCTACACTTCAGAGACAGTGCGAGTGTCTCGCCGTCCTTATGTCTTCCAACGTTACATCTAACGACAACACATGTACGTCTCTTAATAACACACTTCTCAATATGCTTAACATAATTAACCTCTCTAGTTACAAAACTTTAACCTTGTTATATATATATATTTTTTTTGTAAACAGCTATAACGCCTGGTGGTCGGAAAAGCATGCTGAAGTTAGCTCAACGTATGACATTCAACTTCTGTTCGGGCATCTCTGCGCCGTCGGTCCACTGTTGGAGCAAGCTCACTGTCGGGAATGTGGACCCGGACGTTAGGGTGATGACCCGTAAGAGCGTGGACGATCCAGGGGAGCCTCCGGGTATTGTTTTGAGCGCAGCCACGTCAGTGTGGCTTCCGGCTTCCCCACAGCGTCTGTTTGATTTCTTGAGGAACGAGCGGATGAGATGCGAGTGGGATATTCTATCCAACGGTGGTCCAATGCAGGAGATGGCCCACATTGCCAAAGGTCAAGATCAAGGCGTCTCTCTGCTCCGCTCCAATGTAAGTTTTCTCATACTTCTTTGGTTTAACGTTGCTATTGATAGGGGTATCCGGTTAAGCTAAGTAGGTATGTGTGATTGGTTCGGTAATTTTTTTTGTGGGGAATATGGATTAGGTGATTGTGACGTTTTTGTCCATGGGGATGATGGGTGGTATGACGGACAAAAGAGTGGATTGGGAAAGGACAATATAGGAATTTGGGTGGTATCTAAAGATGACACAATAATATTATAATATATATAGATATATTTGTTTATACAAAGACAGGAGTAGAAAACAAAAGTGTCACAGCTTTTGGAAGGGTTTCGAAAGTCAATATTAATAGGACAGTTTCGACCTTTACTTGCTTCTGTATTTTTTGACTTTTCACCACTTCCTCCTACTCTTTCTGAAAAGTTATTTTGACTTGTTGTATCTCTTTTTCACCCTGAAGCGTTACTGTGTTTGGTCAGAGTGTGGCAATTTCTCGTAAATAAAGACATCGAGCTAAGGGTTATTTTGGTTTTTTTGTTTGACTCTCTACGTACAGGCAATGAACGCAAATCAGAGTTGTATGCTAATTCTTCAAGAGACATGCATTGACTCATCCGGAGCGCTTGTAGTCTACGCGCCTGTTGACATCCCAGCCATGAATGTGGTGATGAACGGTGGAGATTCATCCTACGTGGCTCTCCTTCCTTCCGGTTTTGCTGTTCTCCCCGACGGAGGAATGGATGGCGGCTCCGGTGGTGACGGTGAACAACGACCCGTTGGTGGTGGGTCGCTCTTGACGGTGGCGTTTCAGATCCTCGTAAACAACCTCCCTACCGCAAAACTCACGGTCGAGTCGGTGGAGACGGTTAACAACCTAATATCATGCACCGTTCAGAAGATTAGAGCCGCTTTACAGTGCGAGAGTTAAGCTGCCTGCTGATCAGGACGGTGCGGAGAGTGTTTAGGAGCGCGTTTGTTTTTCCTTTTTTTTTTTTTTTAAATTGAGTTGTGAATTTTAACTTATGGTGGTCATGTACTTTTGGGAGGGGGTGTCGAGTCAAGAACGAACCGCGCGAGTTAGCGAAATCTAACTCCTTTGTCACCGTGATGGGACCAAGACATGGAAGAGTTTTGGTCCGATCACGGTGGAGGAGTTGGTGGTTCGGGTATTGACTGGGGTTGGAAACCCCCCCTTATCCTTTTCTTCTCTGTTCCTTCTGAGTAATATTGTAAGAAACTCATGTGGCGGGTTTGAGCCACACGCGCAGGGTGTGTTGTTGTGGTTACAAAACGTGAACCGTGGGATGTTACATTACATATATGTATGTGGTTGGACTTGGATGGATCTGTTTCGTTTCAAGCTAAAAAGCTGTCTCTCGTGGAGCATTAAATGTATTTTGCAGGCATATATATATCTATATCTATATAAAAATTGCGTTGCATTTAATGCAATCCCTTGGCTCCTTGCTTTGCATGAGCTGCTGAGAGATTTGGATGGGGCTTACGTATCCCGCCATTTTCGTTGCGCCACGTCAGACCATGACAGACTGGTGCGAGGAACCAGACGTTACGGCGTCGTTTTCTCCCTTGTGTTTCTTTCTTTCTCTAATTGTTGTTAATGTTCTTTTTAAGTTCAGCTAAGTTAGACAGGCCAAAAAAAAGAGACATGAGCAAACCATTCTAATTCTAATCCCACGGTAGAAACTAGAAAGTTTGACAACGTTGACACTGACAGCTCTACAAGTATGGGCTTTTATTTAAAGCCTACGAACATATTATGGCATGGCCCGTTATAGCTAGTGATTTCAAACTTTGGGCCCTACGATAATCAGTAGGAACCACTCTTTATCTTGTTAAATGGGGCTTGAGTTGTTTTTGTTGGTAAACAAAGTTTCTGAAGCCCGTAAGGTGGTTGGCTCAAGCTATTATAGTTATGGGCTATTTTGAAAATTTTTAGATGCACCCCAACTTGAAACACTCTTCGCTAATTGCTCTTAGATGCAAACCAACTAGGTGACGCAAACACTTGCCAAACTAAAATTATTTGAGATGGCAGACAACCAACCTAGACTTCATAAGCTAACCATTCTATTGATCTTTGTTTTGAGCCTCTATATTATTATATCCAATTTCAAATCTATAGGATAATGATGTATGATATGAAAGAGATGATGAATATTACTATAATATGTAGGATATGTCTAAAAACAGTAAGAAGAATTTATAAGTATAATTTAATTTTAAGGAAAAAAGATGGCTGGCTACACCAACTATACAGGAATGCATGGTAACACATGCCAAGTATCATATTGTATACTCAACTACACGAACTAGATGTATTGCATGACCACATATATCAATTATACAACGTCATGTATTCAACACCATAGACACAAAATTCTGATACACCGGTCAACTGACTCTGGCGTTAACCGGTGTTGACTCCGGCGTTGACCGTTTTGATCCAAAAAAATATTCCAAATTTTTTTATATAATTTTATTTTTATTGTTAAAAATACTAAAAACTGTAATTATTTTATAATGAATTTTTATGGTTTTGTATACTTTTAAAAAATATAATCTTAGGAAAAAAATTGTAACAATAATTTTTGTATTTAAGTAAATCACATAATAAGTTAATGGTTTTAATTAACAATGTAAAAATAAGCAATTCTTACTAATTGATAAGATTTTCCAGTTTTAATTTAGATTCTAATATCTTGAGTTATTTTACTATTAGTTTAGCTCTAAATTTAGAATTAACTAATTATAATAAGATTAATACATTAAAGATTTAAACAAAACTAGTATTTAGATATTGAATATATAAAAACAAAATCAATATTTTTTTAATTAATTTTTTATGGTTTTGTATAATGAAAAATATATAATCTTAGGAAGAAAATTGCTATGACGATTTTGTATTTAAAATAAATCAAATAATAAGTTAATATTTTTATTGACAATATAAAAATAAGTAATTCCCTTACTAATTCACATAATTTTTCTAGTTTTAGTTTAGATTTTAGTATCTTGAATTATTCTACTATCTTGAATTTTTCTAGATTTAATTTAGAATTTAATATCTTGAATTAAATACAAAATCACCGTCGTCATTTTCTTCCTAAGATTATATTTTTAATAATATAATATCTTGAAATTGTTTATAGTTTTGTATAATTAAAAATTCAAAATTAATTACAGTTTTTAGTTTTTTTAACAATAAAAATAAAATTATATAAAAAAAAAAAGTTTGGATTTTGTTTTTTTGGTCAAAAACGGTCAACGCCGAAGTCAACACCGGTTAACGCCAGAATCAGTTGACCGGTGTACCAGAATTTTATGTCTATGGTGTTGACTAAATGACGTTGTATAGTTGATGCATTTGGCGATGCAATACATCTATTTCGTGTAGTTGAGTATATAATATTATACTTGACATGTGTAACCATGCATTACTCTATAGTTCGTGTAGTCAGCCATCTTTTTTCCTAATTTTAATCTCAAAGAGAGGAGGCAGGAAAAAGAGGGAAGTGGTCAAAGACGGTCAAACAATCCACTCCCCGCATATTCCGCGTGCCTAGATGCAATCATTCAAACACACACAAACCCATCCCTTGCTCGCTTGTCCCGGATCCGTAATTGCGACGACCACTTAAGGGTATTTTGGTCAAAGCAACTCATCGAAATCAGGCGGATTCATCCTGACCCGTCCGATGAGTTGCTGCGTCGAATCAACGGTGAGGAGTCAAGGTTTGACCAAAAAAGAGTACAGAGATAGAGAGAACGAGGCTGGCATGATTGGCTTTGGCCACGAGAGAGAGAGAGAGAAGAAGAGAGCAAAGATTCCACCTGGTTGGGTTGGGTCGTCAAGAGAGAGAGAGAGAGAAGAAGAAGAAGAAGAAGAAACCGAAGAAGCTCGAAGAAGGACGAACAGATTCCTTTCTTCTTCCCCGCATAGATTTTTATTTCGAAGAAGAAGAATCCAAAATCCCAGATTTTTGTTTGCTCATGCGAATTTGAATATCTGAATCTGTTATTTTCCCCTTTATTTTTATTTTTTTTGCTTTCTCTCTCTCTCCCTCTTTCTCTCTCCACATGAAGCTGTGGTGGTGAAGATATTTTTGGGAGATTTAGGGTTTCTGAGTTCTTCCTGGTTTTGGTTAATTGGTGAGAAGCCAAGATGAACGTGATGCGTCGTCTCAAGAGCATTGCTTCCGGTCGAACCTCGATTTCTTCGGATCCTGTAAGTATCGCATTTCCATTTTTTTAATTTTTTCTTGTCTTTTAAGATCAGAGAGATTTATGTTTCTGATTGTATGAAAATTTCCTTGTTCATTTTTGTCCAGATGTTACTGATTGATGTCGTTTATAGTATTGTTTACAAGTAAAAAATTTAAGTCTTGTAGATCTTAGTTTTAGGTATCGTCAAGTAGTAATAATGCATATGTTCCATTGATTGTGTGTGTGTTCTTGATTTTGATGATTTGTTGACCTGACCCATTTTGGTGTTTTTGATAATTTTAGGGTGGGGACTGTGGCCTTAAGAGAGCCAAGCTGGATCAAGAGACCGACAACTTCTGTGCTGATCCTATGCAGGTTGACCAGACTAGTTCTTCTTTCGATATTTTGCCAAAAGAAAGTGTTGCTGGAACGTCAAACGGGCATGCTGTCTCAGAGAAAACCGTGGATGACCATCAGCTTCCCGAAGTTATGACCGATATGAGGATTAGAGATGAGCGAAATGCCAACCGCGAGGAGAAAGTGAGTTGCTTTGTCTTTTTTATTTATTTATTATCTCGCTTCTGAATTTTCTGTTTCATCCCCGACCTACATTAGCCGTTGTTCACATCTCCATTGTGGCTTGCAGGATATGGAAACTACTATTGTAAACGGCAGTGGGACTGAAACGGGACAAGTTATTACAACGACAGTTGGGGGTAGAGATGGAAAGCCAAAGCAGGTGTCATTCAACTAACTTTTTTGCTGATTTCCCATTTGTGTTTGAGAAAGGCTATTAATCATGATACTTCTTTCTTCTATGAAAAGATGCTTTCTCTATTCACTCATGTCCTCCTCTGTACAATTAGTTGGCTGTTTCTTTAATTTATCTTTAATGCTTGTTTCAGACAATCTCATACATGGCCCAGCGAGTGGTTGGAACCGGCTCATTCGGAGTAGTGTTTCAGGTAGGTGGAAATCTTTTTATAGAAGGAACAAAACCAATCCATAACTTTTTTGTCGTTTCCAGAATTTGACTTGGTGTCTGATTTTTGGATAGGCCAAATGCCTGGAAACGGGTGAACAAGTTGCAATTAAGAAGGTTTTGCAGGATAAAAGATACAAGAACAGAGAACTTCAGATAATGCGCTTGCAAGACCATCCCAACGTTGTGCGACTGAGGCATTCTTTCTTTTCAACAACTGACAAGGATGAGCTGTATCTCAACCTTGTCCTTGAGTATGTTCCCGAAACTGTTTACAGAGCATCAAAGCATTATACCAAAATGAACCAGCATATGCCAATTATCTATGTTCAGCTCTACACTTATCAGGTGAGGTCTATAAGCTTCCCAATCAATCGTTCCTAGTAGTTTGTGTAGCATAAAGCTTCAGATGCATGGAGGTTTACAATTTTACTTATGCTGATTTTTTTCTCCTTTCTGTTACTTTGTCGCATATCAGATTTGCCGTGCGCTGAACTACTTACATCGCGTGGTTGGGGTGTGTCACCGTGACATCAAGCCACAAAATCTACTGGTATAGTGTATAGTCTCTCTGTTAAAGGTTAAGCCGTATGAATGGATAATATATTGATTCTTTCATGATGTGGCTTTCATAGGTCAATCCCCAAACCCATCAACTAAAAATTTGCGATTTTGGAAGCGCAAAGATGTTGGTATGTTCATTTTTATTTTTTGAATTGTTCTGGTTGATGGGTTGTCATTTGAATAATGATGGCTAACCCTTTTGTGCGTCTTCAGGTGCCTGGTGAACCTAACATATCCTATATATGCTCCCGGTACTACAGGGCCCCAGAACTTATATTTGGGGCGACAGAGTATACCAATGCCATTGACATGTGGTCCGCGGGTTGTGTTATGGCAGAGCTTTTACTAGGCCAAGTGAGATTTATTTATTTTACGGTTTAGAATTATTTTTGATTGATTAGTTGCATTCTAACTTCCAAATCGCATTCAATCTGATTTGAACTGTTGGTGTTCTATCTGTAGCCACTGTTTCCCGGGGAAAGTGGCATTGATCAGCTGGTGGAGATAATTAAGGTACTTATGATCTTCCCTTGTTTACTTTTATCTCTTTCTATCTTCCATGTTTTCTATCTTACTCATCTGTACATCTACCAGATTCTTGGGACGCCTACGAGAGAAGAAATAAGGTGTATGAATCCCAATTACACAGAGTTCAAGTTTCCTCAAATAAAAGCCCACCCGTGGCACAAGGTTTGTGAAATAATTGCAGGTGCTTCTTTGGTGCATGCTCAAATGAAATCTAATATGATACATAACTCTTCAGATTTTCCACAAGCGAATGCCACCTGAAGCAGTAGATCTCGTCTCAAGACTCCTCCAGTATTCACCAAACCTTCGGTGCACAGCTGTAAGACTAAATCCATTTAAACACCAAAAAAAACAATACAAGGCTGATTTAGAATTTCTAACTCAAGATTCCTTAAAACCATTTGTTTAGTTGGAAGCTTGTGCACACCCCTTCTTCGATGACTTACGGGACCCGAATGTCTCTCTGCCAAATGGAAGAGCACTGCCTCCATTGTTTAACTTCACTTCCCAAGGTGAGCCCATGAATTATCTTTACCTTATCTTTATCTAAACAAAAATTGTGAAGTAATTTTTACCCAGCTTTGTTTGGGATCCCAATCATAAGTGAAGGGTATAAATTGGAACAGAATGAAATAACGATTTGATGGATAGGGTTCTACGTTTGGTTTGATCTCATTGATGTGTTGCCATGTATTTGAATGTTCAGAACTTGCGGGTGCATCAACAGAGCTGCGACAGCGCCTAATTCCAGCGCATAGCCAGGGAACGGGAAGTAGCTCTTAGGATGAATTATAGTGTGTGTCCAAATCCAGCTTTCTATCTCTCCATCAATTTTACTGAAAGTGTGTACATCAATTTTGAACCACTTGTGCTTCCAAGCTTTGTGGCTGGAGGAAAGTCTGGAAATCTGCACGCCGGGACCCTAGGAGATGTGAAATAACTGGGTTCATGGAGCTTCTTCTTCTGACTGCCTTTTCTCTCAATTTGCTCTCTCCTTTCTTGTCTGTTTTTTTCTTTGGCCACCTTCACTTTCATTTTTTTGTTTTTTAATCTTGTTTCACAAATCTGACCCCCTTTATATATGTTTTGGTGTATCATTATTATATGTTTGTAATCCATCAAGATCATTTCCCTTGCCGTAATATCGCAAGCAAGCTTGTTTTCTAATAAGATTCAGATTTTTTGGTCATATCTAATTTGGATATTCAATATTGGGTGACTAACCACTTTAGGGACGATTAGGTGCTTTTCTGGTTAGTGGTTACCCTACCATTTAGATTTTTGCTTCTCGGAGGAGTTTTATTTTCGGACTTTCAAACTTCTTTAAAACATTGTATGCCCCAAGGACTCTGTAATGGTGGATATGAGTTCGCACTTCTCTTTGTCTACCACCAACAGCAAGGATTCGTTCATCAAATTTAAATTTGTTTCTCCTTGTCTTACTCCCACTAGCAAAGAATAGTTAATCTCACATTTACCTCTGATCGTTTCTATTGTTGAAGATTATAACATGTTATTAACTCAAAAAACATAAACTGGATTATATTAGAAGAATATCTATATAACTTATCTAGAAAACTAGTAATTAGAGGAAATCGATCATATGAAATATCACTTGGAGGAACTTAACAATCTTTCATAATCGAATGTTTTAGTTTGTACTTGAGGTATGGGATTTACTCTTAACATCCTAGAAGAATTAGAAGATTGGTTGTGACTTTGAGGTATGAGATCTAACCTCTTATGGTCTTATAATGAAAAACTGAATAAATATCAGTTTTTATTATTCCTTTCACAATGCTTCTTCTTAGAAGATTGATTGTGACTTTGTTACCTCAATAAAAGCAACGCCTTTGGATCAATCGAACTGCGCTGCAGCAATGCCGAATTATGAAAGTGCCTCGAACGTTGTGTTTATGATCTTACCAAGGCTCCTGCAACCACAGAAGAAGTTGAAGACATTACCTCTGGATATTAAATATCATCAACTCTTAGTTCTACCATTAGATTTGTGTTCATCAGTGTTTCTGTTCATGACCAATGATCACTTCCTTCCAGCAAAAAGAATAGTGAGAACAGAAGGGTGAGGGGATTAAAAGATAACTTACCGAAACGCTAGTTCCTGTTTTCAGCTCAATCCGAACACTAGCTAGTGACCGTTGTCCGATGCCAAACACATGGAACCTTGAGAAGAGAAATCAAGTGGTCAAATTTCAACAAATGTGCTGTTGCATGTCGAGATCTTGGATGATAAGTGGCAGTGCCCATAACCATGACTTTCAAATCCATATAAGAATTTGGCTTCCATATTTGCATCTTAAAAAGATCATTCAGAGTAACTAAGACAATGCGCAGTATTTGCCTTCCCCTTTATCATCTTATCAACTAATAAGCTAGATGAAATGGGAGTCCATGTAAACTGTATTCTTAAAAGGAGGGAATGTTTACTAAAGAAGGACTTAGAGATATCTCCGCAAGAAGAAGGCACTCTTCTCTGTGGTCCGCATGGACAACATATTGGCTGATTATGCTCCATAATGTTACCCTTCTCACCTCATAACCTGTCCGGTGATCATTACAATTTTAGTGAAAGATACTCATCAAAACCAACAGATGACCAGTGTTGGTCCATAGATATAAGTTTCCAGATTATGTGAGGGCGAATTATTATATAACAATGGAAACTATCAGCCTTAAATTGACTTGGTCACTCTTAAGAACATCTACCCTGCATTATCCAAGAAATGAATCGATTTCTTTCCAACAGTTTTAGATATCTCAGTAACCAAAAGCTGCTAAAACATGAAAGAAGGGAACATAGTAAAGAGATCATTCAGTAGAAAAAAAGAAGAGAAACATGCTTTGCCTTTGGTATATATTTGTACAACATCAGGTCCAGGTTCGGGCTCACACTTTCGAGTCTTAACTTGATACTCATGACTCATGTTAGTTAAGCTTAAAACGACGTAGTCTGAGGAATCAAAAGTCTTCTAATTTGACTCCGCAGTTTTTGTATTTATCCAACTTTCCTTGTTTTATTTCAAGACTCCTAGTCTCCTACTATGGTTAAGGGCCAATTTGTAAAAAAATTGTGGTTAAGTTGGAAATTTGAATAATCGACCCATTTTTTGGTATGGAACCGCAATGGTCCCTTTCACTGTGGAATGTCTCTCACCCAATTTACTCAAGATATAGAGTTCATACATGGGGATTGATCTGTGTGTGACCTATGGACTCAAATGACATAAAATCTCTTTTTGGTTTCTGCAATAAAGGTTTTGTTTTTTTAGTACATAGAGTTTCTTCAGGAAATGGACTTGAAAGCCAATAAAGGAAGTGACTCCTTCAATTCAATGCCCATAAAAAGAGGCACAAGAAGAGCAAAAACACCTCAAACAACCCAATCATCTCTCGAGAAGAAGAGGGTCTCCTCAGGCATTGCTCTTGCCTGTTTTCCCATCATTGTGCTCAAAAGATTCAAACCCCCTTTTTACTTGGTAAGATGTTCTTTCATCTTTCCCAAATGACAAATCTTTAAACACTATATATGGTTACTTCACTCTAGAACCTGAATTCCTTTTTGCTTCAAGGTTCGAGCCCTCTTTGAGTGCGATTTGAGATTCTTTCTCCATTCCCAGGATACCAAGGGAAGCAGACTGCAGATATGACGCCACGTGCCACACAGGAGATATCACTTGAGCCTGAATTGCATCATCTAAAGCTTCTTTCGGCATGTCACTCATTAGGTAACACAGACTACGGCGAGCACACACTGTTGGAGAGATCATTGCTCCATCAATAAACTGTCAAAAGTTTCAAGTAAGGAATCAGGTTCATGCTCTATATGTTAATATACTTCACTTTTAAGTGCACAAAACTGACCTGCGTGTAACACTCAATGGCCTCTCTAAAGTCTTTTTGCCTGAAAGCCACATCACCCTTCTTCTTCGAGTTCAAAGACTCTTGCATCTGGTCTGTCCACATGTGAAACGAGAGCTACATTGACAAAACATTGTAATGCAACACCATTAAGTGACCACATACATTATATCTATACAAACCTCTATTTATCACCAAACACTATTAACTTAATAACAGGGCCAAACCATTCTTTTTCCAAGTTAGTTTCGAAAAGGTACCTCATTGGTGACACCCTCGTCGTCTTTGTATCCCAGTTTATCCAAGATCTCAAGCATAGCAGTCAGGTCTCTTCTTGAACAAGCCTCACCAAGAGGCGACAGAGAAGAGACTGAATCACTGTGAGGGAGACCCATTAAAACATGAGATGGGACCTGCAGCTTTCAATACAGGGAAACAATTATCTTGAGTAAACAAACAGAAACTCGGTTTTTTTTTCTGATGGCTAAGAAATTCAAATGGAACCTCTGTTTCCTTCTGAAGAGGCGTCAAGGCAGTCACCAAAGATTTCGTGTTTGGTCGCTCACGAGCTTCGTATTGAAGACAACGAGACGCCAAGCGTACTAACTCTGTGCCATCACTGTCAGAAAATTGCCCATCCAGGCAAGAATCTGTTAGTGTCTGAAGATTTCTGTCTCTAATCAGATCAAGGGCCTGCATCAAACAGATTGAAAGAATCAGTTTCACCTCCAAGTAAAACCTGCAATCTAGTAAGGAAACAAACTTATCTTGGCTAAAATACTTACATGGCTAGGAGGTATATGTTTCCCACTGAGAAGATCAAGCAGAAGAGTACCAAAGCTGTATATCACACTCTCAGGAGTAATTCTCCCTGTAAATCCACACCAAGAAAAGGAAAGAATGTGTAAGTTAATCTCAACAATATGAATCTTGGCAAAAAAAAACCAATGACGTACCAGTTCGTAGATACTCAGGAGGGGTGAAAGCAAGATTAGTGCTGTAACTTTTGCCGTCACGACTATTCTTCATCAAGCCAAAAGTGGAGAGCCTTGGATTGCATTCCTGGTTAAAATAGCCCTAAAGGCGTCAGAGAATGAAGGAATAGCATAGAAACATGGACAGGTTCCCTAAAAGAGCTATAGTTGATTTATATAGCGGAAAGAATACCTCATCAAACAAAACCCGGTAAGCATTGAGGTCGTGATAAAGAGAACGGCCTTTGCTGGTGCAGTATTCAAGAGCTTGTGCTAGATATAAAACAACTCGAAGCCTCATAGTCCATTTCATAGGTTGTGTCTCCCCTAGTTGTATAAAAGTACACTTTAGATTCTTGAGGCATAATAACTTCCAAGAATAGAAAGGGAAGATTATTAAATGAAAGGCTATATATAGGAAAAAAAGATTCTCACAGTGAAAAAGGTGTTTGGCTAGTGTTTCATTGGGCATAAATTCTGCTACAAGTAACCTCTCATCACCTTCACAGCAACATCCGAGTAAATTGGCCATTCTCTCACTCCGCAGCTGACCAACCGACCTAGCTTCCTCCTGCACGAGGAAGAACAAAAATTCCCAACATCTAGATAAAAAGAGACTAAACACAAAGTGCAGAGAAGAATTTGCAGAGATAAATTAGTCAAACCAGGAATTGTCGTGCATCGGGCCACGCCATTCTTGTGAAACGCTTGACAGCAATCTTCTTTTGATTCTCCAATTTCCCTTTGTAGACGACATTTGGAGCCTTTTCTCCATGTTCAGAGACAATATACTCGACAGCAAAACCAGAAGTAGCCGCCTTGAGCTGTTCTAATGTATACTCCCGGAAATTAGGCACATCAGTGTTCTCACTACTCTCTCCATTTTCTGCATCCAAATTAGACAATAATATAGCATTAGTTTCTTAGATCCAAGTGATAAAAGAAACACTAATTATAATAGTTTCGGAAGAAAAAAAAAAGGAAGAGAAAAGGTCAACTAACCAACATCAGGAGCTTCAAGAACAGCTGTCTTGTGAGATGAGTTCCGGCAACACCGACTCAGGTTAGAGCATTGACCTCCCATCTAAATGAAAACGCTCCAATATGGCAGGCCAATGGAAAAGGTTTAGCTTCAATTAGGTGGTCTTCGTAAACCCAAGAGCTGCAACAGATTATACAAGCAAACGATCTTAGCAAAATCGAATCTTCCATAGTTTCTATGAATCAGTGGAAGTAGTCAAAACTCAAACAAAGAACAAATTACTGGAAAGTACCGGATTTATATGTACGAAGAAAAAGGTCGTACCTTGTCAACTCGCTGTGACTCTCTCTAAGTGAGTCAACTCGACTAGTTAGTATTACAGCAATACAAAGATAGAAGAGAAACTCGAAAATCGAAAGGAACAGTATTGAGAATCGAAGATGAAACCCTAATTTGAGAGAAGGAGGAGGCAGAGAAAGAGAGATAAGCAACTCTAGTAGGAATCAAATGGATCGAAGAACTTGTTGTTGGTGGTGGTCTAGTGTGTTAAGGTTCCTCGATTTCATCAAAACGCTCTCTGATGAGCAAAACAAAAAAAGGCAAAAGAAAACAAAAACCAGGACAAGCAAATCCACGTGGTTTCAATAAATTTAAAATTTATAAAAAAAAATTAAAAAAATGGGGAAGACCGTAGAGTATCTCAGAAATCGAATCAACGACATGAACGTATGTGATTCATGTGAAGTGAAAACTATAAACAATCCCACAATTGTCGAAACCCCCCACCCCAGGATTATATTCTTTTAAAACATACAAAGTAGATCAGATCACACCATTTTTATTTTATTTTATATATGAGAATTATTATCTGTTCTTTTTTCTTTTTTTTTTTTCTGAAACGAGAAGAGAAGAAGAAGACAGAGAAAGAAAGATAGATAGATATAAGATATATAGAATAAGCCAAAAAATAATTTACCGACAAGTTGATGAAAATATTTTAATGGTGATGAAGGAAGGCAACAAAGAATCTGGCCATTACTCTCTATCATCTAATATACCCCCAATATATATATAAATATATATCAATTTTTAATAAATTGTTGTCGTACAGATTTTTTTATATTTAATTTTTCTTTGTTTCTGAGAAAAAAAAATATATTGCACCGCCTGTGTGAAAAGAGCAAGTGGTCGTCGCTGTTCATAGAAGGAGACAGTGAGAGAATGAGAGATATGAATATGAATGATGCTTCTTCCTCTATCCCGTTGGCTCCTCCTCCTCCTCGCCGTAATCACTAACGGCTTCTTTTTGTAATCAAACGGATTTAATTAAGGAGGGAATTAACTATGCACTAATTTTGGAGGCGGATGTAATAACGTTTTATTTAAGGCCCATGGGCCTTTTGCATACTGTCCAGTAAGGGATCTCGGTGCACGGATATGGTTCAGATTAGTCAAACCGGGTTTAAGCTGGTGGTTTGCTTACGAATTGGTGCTGGTTTAAGACTTTGTTAGGATCTAACCGACTCTGTTTCTCATCGATCGTCTTCCTCTCATTTTGTATAAAAGCTCGATCATATAATAAATTTTTGATTCATGAATGCAAGATTTCTCAAAAAGATTCGAAAATGAAGATATAGAGTTATATAAATATATACATGTTTGTTGACTCCTCCTCTATCTAGAAAGAAGATTCACAACATAGAGTCGGACATGGCCGGAAGTCGCCGGAAGAAGTTGAAGGGAGCGGAGGGGATGCGGTACCGGAACTTAGGGTGTCGCATGAAGTAGTAGCCAGAGAGGAGGGCCACGAGTTTAAAAGGGGTGATGTAGAGAACCATTGCAATGAAGAAACAAAATGTCACGAATATAGCTGTTGCGCGTGGATCACGCCAGCTCAGCAGCGCCTGCACTCGCTCTCCCTGTGCCGCTATGTCTCCAGCCACCGACTGAACCTTTCCGGCTACACTTCTCAGCCTGTCGTACCTGAGAAACAAAGAACACAGAGGGAGGAAAACTATCAGCCAATTAACAGATAATTCTTCTTTTTTTTCTATCATCTTTATTTGTTACCTCATTTTCACAAAGTCCGGAGCTTTTGTGGTGGGGAAGGTATCAAACTCTTCGTCGAGCTCATCAGCATTCACACTCTCTGCACCAGATAGTTTGGCGTCCATGTGAGGAGGAAATCTGGGCTTGAACCTGTAATTCCACATCCCAATCACAGCCATATACAGAAACACAGTCGGCAATATCATCTCTGGAAACACCACAAGCATCGTGTACAGCACGTGCACCAGAGCCGTCGTCACTGGAGTCCTCCACGTGCACACTTGTTCCATCCATTTCCACACCGAGACCACACCCGAGAACACCGACGTAAACCTATTGAAGTTGGCTTTGCTTCGCCTCATGCTGAACAAATGACTTCTCGAATCTGCCATATACTCAGCCACTTCCCGTCTCAGCGGTGGCTCTGACCGGCCTAAACGAGTCACAATTATGTTGAAAGCATGCGCCCTTAGATGTTCCTGTTGGCTTTCAGGTAACGGTTGTATGTAATGCATTTTAGGCAACAGAGGTTTGGTGTATTTCATAAGCATACTGGAGACCGATGTGCAGGTAAATCTCACGGCTAAGTGAAGCTCCCCTCTTTTCTTAAGACCAGGAGGTTGTAGAACAAGTAAAGGGTAAGCGTGGGTGTAGATATGGCCCGTCTGAAGAGTTGAGAGTCTAATACGTACTTTCCCAATCGGCTGATCTCTGTTGTTTCCGCTGTTTCCAGCTGCAAAATGCCCGTTGTCAAAGACGCAGATGGTTAAAACCGTTGCAGGATCAAACACCTCCCATGTGTATTGCTCATTGTACTTTGGATTTACGCTGTTGATTACTGTTCGTGATCGAACCCATTTGTGACCGTATTTGGCAACAACATAAGTGTCTGCAGTACCTTTCCCATCCCGAGTTTTCATCGAATGGAACACATTTGCGTTAAGTATCCCAAGCTCCAAGACTCCGATTGGTGATTTCCAGAGCTGTCTCGCTGATGGTCTGAGATCGCTGCTGTAATACATGGACTCATCAAAAACGTGGTAGCCTCCATCAAGAACAGCCCTATAATGGAGCCTACTAGCGAATTTCACTTTCTTGGCTTTATCAGCATCCATAGCGTCTGAGATGGAGTCTTCGAGATGAACCCAACGGCCATGATGAGGACCATGGGCTCTATCATCTGTACATTTCTCAATGTCAGTCAGATGAATCACAGCTTTTCCTACTGGCTCATCTTTGTTAGGAGCAGCATGATCTTCGACAGAGATGACCATGGGTTCCTCAAACGGCTCTGCAACTACAAAAGTGAATTCATCGCCCCATTTCGGATTCATGCTTCTCTGAGAAACTTTAGTCTTTAACATCTGATTACCGATCTTGATTCTCACAAAGGCCTCAGGAAGACGGGATTTGTCAGACATGATGATGACGTCCTGAGCTTCTAATATCTTCACCTTTAGGTACCATAGCCGAGGAGAATGGTACACTTTTGAGCGCAGGTTAGCGGATATAATATTCGAGCTATCTGAAGATACCAATGAATCTGAAAAAGTCGCATCCCCGAAAGCTTCATCAGCCTGAGTTCCAACCCATACAGCAAGCATTATCTCATAATTCTTCTTCTCGCCTTTCTTGTTCTCCAATCTGTACCACTCGGGAGCTAAAGGGCTATCCGGAGGAGCACGAGACTGAACCTCATTGAGATCGAATTTAACGATCCCAACAAAATCATCAAGGACAATGTCTTTATCCTTCACCACAACTTCAAGAAAATTCGACTGAAGATTATCTCTAGCGAAGGCAAAGACTTGGTTCCACTCCGGATCTGAATTCTTGTTAAAATGCGTGGTAACACCTTTGAAGTTTCCGACCTTTACTTCGACATACGGGTCTAGGCTTCCTGTAAGGTCTCTGTTTGGAAGATCACGCGCCTTCACAACTCTCACGTAGAGGAATCTCATCTCTTCGACGAGATCATATGTGCCACTTGCTGGCCTCTGTGTACCACGAACCACTCGTCCTCCAACGATCCGTCCACCTCCGAGCAGAGGGCTTGTCTCTTTGACAGAGAAATCTGGTGGCAACTGGTGCAAGGATGGACCTGGACTGTTGACTTGAACCACTCTTGGAGGCATTGGTCCAGCTCTCATCTCGTGGATGCCATAATTCACCATTGGCTGTTGTTTCACTAAAGGGGAAACGTTATGAAACGTGTGTGTTTTAGGCTTTGTCCCTATTCTCTCATCCGTAGCCATACTTGCATCAGCTGTGATTACGGATTTCACAGGTTCTTTACGCGGACTTGGGCTATAAGCTTGAGGAGGTTCTGGAACTCGGGTTGGGACAGAAGGTGTTATAGAAGGATCGTCTGTGATAAAAACTCTCAAGCCAAGTTCTCCACGCGCTCGAGAGAAAACACTGCGTTTCTCTAAAGGGTAATTGAAAGGAGCTGCTTCAGAGTGAGGAACAAAAGATGTCCCGTTGACTCGAACTTTGCCAAGAAAGGGCTTAGCATCGGATTCGTTCTGGTAGCTGTAGACATGGGCATCGAGTGTACGATTTGACAAGACGGAAGGATCAGAGACAACGAAGTAAAAACACTCGTGCCAGACAGGGTTTGGGTCATTGGGTTTTGTCGTCGTGCGAAATATCTGGTTGTCGAACTTGAGCTCCACGAAAGGGCTACATGAGTTATGCTTGTCTCTCTGAAACAGACCCTGTGCGCTTATCACTTCAACGCCTAGCTTAATATTGCTCATTTTAGGCTTACTTCGAAACACCTTACCAGCAGCAATAGAGGGGAAGACCAGCCAACTGCAGAGGAAAGGAGATTTCTAAAAACACGAAACCGAAACAATAGACTTTTCTATAAGAAGAGGTGAAGAGCGAGGTACAGGAACAAGAAAGGGTAACCGAAAAGGGGAAAAGAGAGAACTTTACCCTATTCAACCATTGAAGTTTTTCTCCTCTTCAGAAACAGAGGACACATGACATAACTCGCCTTTAAAGATCAGTCACCTGTCTAAATCAAACCAGTAAACTGAGTATACAGTCTTATTTTCTAAGAAAACACGCGCAAGTAAAAACAAGTGTTCAAAGATTTTCTCTGTGAGTTCGTTTCGTGTTCTGTTTTACTCAACGGTGCTTACTATGTTGGTCGTACCTCTTTTTCCATGGAAATTGCCGGGTTGCTTTGAGAACCACGGCCAGATCTTGACACGTGTCCTATATGGCCGGTACTACGAAACATCTCGGGACCAATCATATCAAGCGTTGACCCAAACCCAAAGTTAAGTCGTTTTTCTTGTTTGAGCCTAATCGTTTGTTAGCCAATTATTAATGTCAGGTAACGTATTTCTTGGGTTTAAAATTATAAAAATCAGAGCATCCCTGTTGTTTTTTTGGACGTTATAATCAAATTTGAAATACATATATTATATAGATGTATCATTATCTTATGTAACAGATGTATCATTTTTTAAACAGCTTGCTTAGTTACCTTCGGAACTTATAAAACGAAACTGAAAAAAAAACGAGAGAAAACGCCAAATAAAAGTCAAAAGAAGTACGTAGTGTATATATACGTACAGAAAAGACAAAGAGTCTACTTCAAAGTCTAAAAATCCATGAAAGACTTTGAAGTTTCCTCGTAATAACACTATTAAATCTCTTTAGGAGACGTATCACTTTCGCAACACGTCTCTAGTAATGCATACGTATAAAAAATATAATCTTTTAACTTAAGAAGATTTTGCTTTTTTTAAATGCATGCATGTCGTCAAATGTAAGTAAAACACTCGCATATGGCATATACATAATAGATTAACACTTGTTAGATGTGTTTGTGTCTTGGCCCTTGAGTGTATTCATGAATAACAAAGAGAAGAAGAGATGTTCGCAAACAAACAAACAATCAAATATGCTTCAAAGTTCAAACCTTGTAAAACATCAAATATGCTTCACAGTTAACATAGTAAATTGCTAACAAACAGTAACACAAAAGCTTTCGCAAAATCCAATGGGAACTGTTGGGCCTCTCTAGTTTACGATCCAGTGAACTCATGGACTCAGTGGCACGTTTGGGCCGCATAAAACAATATCTAGCAATATAGCATTGAGGCTAAAGTCAAAGTGCTGCTACGTATAGAAAAACAAAACTAGCTGCCCAAGACCAATCATGACAAAAAAAGAAAGGGTCAAAACTGCAAAGAAAAAAACCAAAACAAAGAAAATATAGCATGTTCATCATGAAAAATTCAACGCTCCATTGATCTCCCGACCAAAGTTCAGCTCATATTGCAACAAACACAAATAAAAATATAGATAAAGATGTACATGACGGGCTAAAACTGTAGATATGTATGAAAAAATATGGGCACAACGTGATAGCATCAAAGTCGTCTATTTTAAGACGTGATAAGCCTAAAAAACCAAAGAATATATCAAAAATACCCAACTTAGTGTTTTCCTCAACCTCAAAAACCCCCCAACCCTTCCCACTCTTCCCTATCCCCTTCATTTTCCCAATCATCAAACGCAGGTGTAGAGTTCCATTTCTCCATAGAAAACATGGTAAGTTCCTACATTTGATCTTCTAATGTAAATACGCATTGATTCTGTTTATGTTCTGATTTTACATCCACCAAAAAAGAGATTGTAAACATGTGAAATTTTCATGTGGATGGTATGGTTTAATATGCGGTGATATGTAGACAGATTCCATAGCATAAACTAAGTTTCGTGTTATTTGGTTTGGAAGTGTGAAACATGAATAGGGTTCATGTCAAAATTGACTTTGTAAGGATAGTATTGTGAACATGTGGTTTATATGCAATGATTCCAGATCAAAATCTGAGTATTATGGTATTTGGTCAGGAAGATCTATATACAATGGATAAGGTTCATGTATAAATAAATGGATACGTGTTGTGCAGGCCAATTCAGCGTCTGGGATGCATGTGAGTGATGAATGCAAGCTTAAGTTCTTGGAGTTGAAAGCAAAGAGGACTTACAGGTTCATTGTGTTCAAAATTGATGAGAAGGCTCAGCAAGTCCAGATAGAAAAGCTTGGGAATCCAGAAGAAACTTACGATGATTTTACCAGTTCTATCCCGGATGACGAATGTCGATACGCTGTCTTTGACTTTGATTTCACAACCGAGGATAATTGTCAGAAGAGCAAGATCTTTTTCATCGCGTGGTAGCATATTCCTCCATCTCTCTCTCCTTTGTTTTCCACATTATCCGAAATCAACGTGTGCCTCTATATTAATGGCTTTTGTATTCATCAGGTCACCTGATACATCAAGAGTGAGGAGTAAGATGTTGTACGCAAGCTCAAAAGATAGGTTCAAGAGAGAAATGGATGGAATTCAAGTGGAATTGCAAGCAACTGATCCTAGCGAGATGAGCCTTGACATCATCAAGGGACGAGTCAATCTCTGACTCTGAGAAAACATTCTAAATGCATCCTTATTCGTTTCAAATTAAATGTTAAGCTTTTCTATCTATGACATGCCATATTCTTGGATATTTCTGCTTTTGCTTGTTTCACTCTTTGCATTTTGTGTGGATTCAGTGTCTTTAATTGTTAAGTTGTTCTTCACAACAACAGACAAAAAGAAAAGGATAATTTAATTCTTCAGGTTTCCCTCACAGAGCTTTGAAAAGTGAACCATTTCGTATGATGAGTTGTTCTATAAGAGAAACCAAGCATATAGGTAGAAAACAGAAGATCGAACATACCTCGGTGACTAATTAATCCAAGACTAGCTCACCAAATATTGAAAAGAGATAGTCTTCATTAAAGATGTTGGACATGGCGGAACACAACAAATGTTGAAATGCCCCCTCCCACATTATTTTCCTGCATCTAAAACAATCAGTTAAGCCTCAGAAGCACTATGAGTATTAAAAATGTGAAGCAGCATCCAGATTATTATTTCTTTCAAGAATACCAAAAGCAAAAGCAAAAAAACGAGAAGAATCAAAATTCTTCATGCTTGTATATGAAATAATCCTGGCCTTTCTTCTCATCGTTCCAAGGAAACCAACTCTGATTTCCACACAAAGAATACTAATGAGAAAACTAAAGCATGAACTTGTAAATGCATAAACCAAATTCGGAACGAACTGGATTTTGATGAAGCATTTATGTCTTACCTAATAAATTACTTCTCTTGACTACTTGGACATGAACAATGGCAAATCGGCTGAAGCAATTCGTATCGTTCATCTCCCCACCTCCACCACTTCTGCCCACAAAACCGTAATTTTCTTAAAATGCCCAAAATCTTCGAATTCTCGGGACACCATCGACACAGCCCGGCGGGGGCGTAAAAGTATACCGGTGGAAATGAAATGATACGGAACTCTCTTTCGCATGTAGAGTGTTACTATCCGACGTGTCCCAAGTTTTGAATATTTGCAGAGGAGCCCTCCAGAGGGTAAACAAACAAATTGCTTTAACATCCAACTCAAGACATTTTTATTAGTTTCGTTAACTAATGTAAATTTTGTCAACTCTTGTGTAAGCAACAATCCACTCTAATCTTAATAAAAAAATACAACATTTTGGATTCCATACTTGAGCGAAAAGACCAACGCACAAGTTTCTAGAGTTCCACAGATATTGTTCGTAATTTCGTATGTGTCAATTAAATTATTTTTAAAAAAGAACCCACTAATTGATAAGTTAAAGAGCAGCATTTGCAAGTAAACTAGCATAATGCTCGCCAATTTTGTCAAGATTCGTTATTCTGCAAGCTGTAAGATATATGTTCCTTGTTTCATTATCGAATCCAATTAAAATCATTGAAGCCGACAATTTCAATTTTCACCTTTCGTATTCGAATATATCCGTTAGATCTTTTATAAATAGACCTGAATGGGCATTTCACTTAGCAATTACAACTCTAAAGGCTTCAAGCTCACTTTTTTTTATCCAAAATGGAGTCAGGTATTCCGATCCAAAGAGGTACTCATATCACAGAGTTTCCGTATTGTTTAGTTTCACTATTATCTTTTTTGACCTACAATTTAATAAAACTTACCATGTAGGAGATGAGCAGTTCAAAATCATCAAAGCATGGAAGGAACTAAAGATAACAAATGTCAATAACAAGTAAGAAACAACACACAAAACCTTTTTCAGCGTTTTATATTTCCTATTGCGCTTTCAGTAACCATGTGTCTGATTGCAGGACTCAAAAGAGGCTCCTAGATATTACAGGATGGGAGAAAAAGAAAACAACCGAGATCGAATCTCAACTCGCTAGAATTCAGGTGAATCCACCACACACAAAAATAAACATCTGCTAACTATCTACTTATGTATATGAATCTATCTAAACAAGGAAGTAAATCAAAAGTACAAACCCCTATATTTAACATGACAAAGAGCAAACAAACCAACAAACAAGAATTGTTTTTCGCAGCGGAAGATGGATAGTAAGAAGATGGCGAAATCAGAGAAACTACAGACCAAAAAAGCGGCAGTTCATGCTAAAGCACAAGAGAAGAAGGCAAATGTTCAAACCAGACGCGCGCAAGAGATCCTTGAAGCGGAAGAAGAAGCTGCTAGGTTTCAAGCCACAGGACAGATACCCAAGAAGCCATCTCTTAGCTGCTTCTGAGATCAATAGTATCCTGTGAAACATGTTATCACCTATCTTCTTTCTCATTTGTTCATACTTGTATCTTTCGTATGTTGTGTGTTTTGCTTGTGTTGATCATGAAACAAGAGTGCTAAATTCATTGTCCACAGACCAAAATCCTGAACTAATCCTATTGACAGCACAATGCTAGAATCAAATTTGCAACTAGGCTAGATGGAAAGAAAACGGAACATAGCATCTTATGGTCTCAGACTTATTATTGAAGTTGAACAGCTGGAAAAGGAACATGAAAGAGTCATGAAACCACAGCTTTTTGGGGACGCATCACAACACTGAAACCATAGATCAGTCTATGGAAAATAACATCAAACGACTTGTTAAGACTAAATAAAAGTCTTCACTTCCAATACTATCCGGTACTTCAAACCTTCTAGCCTTGTCTAATAAAGGAATCCCAAAGACGCAGAAAAAAAAAACATTTTGGAGGTAGAGGCAGAATGTGAAGCCTTTTTGGGTTTTTGTTGCCCTGCATGGCTAGATAAGACAACTGTCTAACCATTGCTTCAACCAACCTGAAACAGCGCACAAATCCAAATAAGTTTTTATAACAGCGCACAAATCCAAATATTATATAAAGCAAAATAAATTATCCTAAAGAATCTTGAGTTTAAATGAAGTAAACAACTGTGAAAGTAGGAACAGGTAAAGTCTGTCTGAAATTAGATACTACGTACCATTTATTACTGATTCACCTAACAGCAGACCAAGGCAATTTACCCTTAGTTATTGGCAATAAATTGCCTGATCGATATGTGGAGGAATTTGCTTGATCTCGGTTCCAAGCTCTTGTTCAATCCGGTAACTAACAAAATGTAACGCCAAGGTTAAACTATGCTATCGGAAACAGGATTACAAAGCAGTCAAGAGAGAAAGACATACAGGTTAAATCGGTCCTCATAGGTGATAAGATTCACAGCTAAACCAAGATGGCCGAACCTTCCTGATCGACCAACCTGAACAGCAACCAGGTATCAAAATCAACTGACCATCAATCAACAAGTAGGAATCTAGTACAGTGTAGATATCGGGTTTTCAACTTACCCTATGGAGATAAGTTTCTGCATTCTTTGGGAAATCAAAGTTTATCACCACATTGACTGCTTGAATGTCTATCCCACGTGTGAACAAGTCTGCAGCAACCATCATCAAATTATTAACTATGCAGATAAAGAACTTAGCTGGTTTAACAAAGTGAAAAATAGTAAAACTTGTATAGCTTATCCCCCTATGACATCAACTAAAGGCACTCTTCGGTTCTAAGAGGTAGATAATTGAGTATTTAATTCACTGTACTCCTACAGTAAAAAGCATAACAGACATACCAGTACACACAAGATTCCGGCATGCACCATTGCGAAAGTCATGGAACACTCTGTTACGATGGTCCTGAAGCATCTTTGCATGGATGTAAAAGCATGAATACCCAAGTTCTGTGATTTTTTTAGCCAAGAGCTCCACACGGTTTACAGAATTGCAGAATATGATTGATTGGTTAATTTGCAGCTGCAAAAGAAGAAGAGAGTAAATGCTAGCTAAGAAAAGAAACAAAAAAAAATCAATGATTATTGGCTAGTTCAGATCTTACCTTGGAGAATAGTGTATTCAAGCAATGAATCTTCTGTCTTTCTTCAACGAATGCATAGAATTGGGTAATACCCTTGAGAGTAAGTTCATCCATGAGATTGATGACGTAAGGATTCGTCAGAAATCTATCCTTAAAATCCTTGACAGTGACAGGAAAGGTGGCTGAGAACATCAATATCTGTCGATTTTCTGGAAGAAAGCTAATTAAATGTTCCACCGAAGGTTGGAACTCTTGAGACAAAAGCTTATCGGCCTGATGAATAGATCCATAATTAAATTAGATAATGGGGGTAATATGAGAAGATCTGCAATGGCTTGCGCCTATAGTCAAATAAATAGATAGATAACAAAAATTTATAAGAAAATGTGCAAAGTAAGATTCTACATTTACCTCATCCATAACGAGTACCGAACAATCTTTCAAGACACAAACACCTTTCTTGGCAAGATCAAGAATTCTGCCAGGAGTTCCTACCAGTAAATGGACAGGCTGATACAAACGCATAATATCGTCTTTCAGACTGGTTCCCCCAGTGGTCACCATGACTTGAATCTTCAAATGCTTACCCAGTTCCTTACAGACCTGTGATGTCTGAAGGGCTAGCTCTCGAGTTGGAACAATTATAACAGCTGCATACAAGACAGGCATCAACGATAAACTAAATTAGAAAAGCAGTAAACCTTTAAGGAAACATTTTAGGTTACTTATCGAAGCAATGGGGTTAGAGGCTCCATCATTACTACTTGCTAAGTGTAATAAAGTAACTAGAGTTTATTGTAGTAACTCTCAAGTACCCCATGGTATATTATGTTATCTCTATAGTCTTAACCTATAAATTTTATCTGAGAGAATGAGAAGAGGCCCATGAAAAATTCCTCAAGTTGTCAGTTCCAATATTCTGTTCATCACCAGCTACGAGAAAATTAAATAGCTAGAAGATGCTAGAATGTCTATCGCAGCATAACACATCAAAAAGAGTCAACTGACAATATGGATCAGAACACAGTAAGTCAGTTACCTTGAATAACGTTGTTATCTTGGTCAATTTTTTCCAAGACAGGAATACAAAAGGCGGCAGTCTTCCCAGTCCCGTTTTTTGCTCTGGCAAGGATATCTCTACCAGTTAATGCAATAGGAATACTCTCTTCCTGAATAGGAGAAGGTCTTTCAAAACCCTTCTCATAAATTCCCATGAGAAGCTCCCGTTTCAAAAAATAATCTTCAAACTCGTTCCCCTTGGTGGCTGTCACATCCTGAAAATGATAACAAGTGAAGAATTGAGTACATCTCACCCCATGCAACCAAGAATTCCTTCACAAATAAAGTCTAAGTGTTGACTTATGTAATAAGCTATCAAATAAGTAAGAACACATTTATGATACACCAGTATAGCACTTGAGACAACCGAAATAAACAGTAGTAGTATGTAACCTTTCTTCACTTGTGTAAAAAGAGAAAAATAGAAATCGAAATTTATCTTATTTAGTACATATGATGAAACTAACCTCTGTTCTGAAGCGAGTATCAGGTGCCGGTAGTTTTAGCCTCGCCTTCCAATCTTCCGAACTGAAGAGAATTTTGAATATAAACGTTAGTAATCACACGAACCAAAAATGAAACGTGTACTAAATAGTAGCGTAAGAAACAAGGGTTTTAGTCACTATAATGAAAATAATCACATCCAAGATTTAACTAGAAACTTACTTTGGGTCGATAACTTCGGACTGAACAGTTTTCTCAACTTCGACAACTGCATCACCGTTACTGTTACCGCCGGGGGGGATCTGAGCTCTTCGAAGCCATTGCTGCTGTTGTTGTTGTTGTTGCTGTTGGTATTGATGTGGCTGAGACGGCGCTTGTTGGTGATTCTGAGCGTAACCACGCTGAACGTATTGGGGTGGCGGTTGCTGTTGATAACCTGGCCGTGATTGGTAATTAGGGTTAGGGTTAGTGGCACCACGGCCAGCGCCAATTCCAGGAGGATACCTTCCTCGATTGTTCATCACAAATCTCTAAACAGACGCTAATGACCAAAACTCTGACTAAGGAGGTATCTGTACACCAAGAACACCACAACAGGAACTAGGGTTTCCTACGGTAATACACAACCTAGGGTAATGTCGGAATTTTGAAGGAAAAAAAATCGAGATTTAATTACACAGAAATAAAAAAACTCTTCCGGAGAAACCTAGGGTTCGTAAAATCACAAAATCGGAGATAATAAGTAGCAGATCTGGAATCAAACGAAATTTAGGGATTGATATTTGGAAAAGAGGTCCACGCAAAGGAACGAGAGAGGGATCAAAAGGGTCAACAACAGTAATATATAGACGAAGGTTGAAACAGAGACAAGAGAGCAGAGAGAGGGACAGAGATGAGAGGGACAGAGATGATCTGTACTATACTGTTTGTGATTTGGTCGGACTTCTTAGGCGATACAGTAAGGCCTGGCGGTCTTGGTCTTGGGCTTCGAGTGTTTCAAACGGCTCAGTTCTTTTTCTGAAATTTACAAAATTGTCCTTTGCTTTCTTTTCTTTTACATATTTACCCATTATTTTCTTTTCTAAAATAAATTCTTGTTTTATCAACTTTTAAACAAAGAGTAACGGTGTAAAGCCACATTTATACAAAGAAAGAATAACAGAAAATAGTATATCAACACTGCTTTTTAAAGTTGTTTTTAGTTTAAAATATTATATTTGGACACTAATTCGTATTTTACATATATAATTCATCTTCGAATTAAGACTGATTTTTAGCTCAAGATTAACAATTTAACATCAAGCTACATCATACAAATACTACCATATGGTTGTCATAGCTAGAAAATCATCCAGCTCCAAAAACATCTCTCTACTGTTGTTATACTTTATCAAAATTGCACTTTTTAACTTTAACCACCATGCACTTGTCTTCTATGATATCATTGGAGTCTGATGACATCTCTTCCTCATTTGATGTATCATTTGCTTCTCTCCATTATATAAGAATAGGTTGCGCGCTTCGAGCCTACGACTCGTTTTCGAGTGAGTTTGTGGAATTCCAAAACATAGTAGTTTTTTCCGAACCAAAGAGGATAATGTTGTCTTTATTTGTATTATTGCTCAAACATTGTCTAAGGCCATACGCCATGCCGCATGAGAGTGAGAAACAATCTTTGCTCTTCTTTTGTTGATTCTCGTTCAAGACCGCGTATTTAAGTTGAGATTTTGATTGCTTTTGATAATATGTGCTTAGATGAAGTTATTCAATTTTGGTATTATTCAAGGATTATATCATTATCAGCTGATCCGAGCATATACCCTTATTCGAGTGTGATGTCAAATAATCGACTACATATGCATATTTATCTATATTTTGGATTTGATTAACCAAAAACTTATTTGGTCTGCACGAATTCGACTTACAAATAACAGTTTGTTTGAAATAATCACTAAAAGCAAAGATTACATTTATAATCCCATAGTATTTTTGCCCGGTAATATAAACCTGCACTAAT